CCTACAGAGGGAAAAATGAGAGGGATCTCAGAATAGCATATTGACTGGAGGATGAAGAGATCTTAATCAGGTGGGAAGGGAACTTTTAAAAGAAAATAATTTTCTGACCAGATAAAGCTTCACAAAATCCCAAGTCAGTTTTGTGAGAGATTATATCTGTAGACTGGAAAAGATCCTGCCTCTTATTTATTAGCTGGAAATTTATGTTTTTTCTGTCTTTCTTTTTTCCACCTACTATCCTCCTGAAGTCTGAGAGAGAAAATAACTTCAAAATCTTGCATCTTCTTATAAAAGAAGATACAAAATTTTCAGATGAAGACATGATTTTTGAAGTTGATAACAACCTTTCTAAATTATTGGTTTTCGTATATGTTCCTGGCAGTAAAGCAATTTTCTAGAACAGATGCAGAAAGTGAACATGAGGGAGGCATAACAAAATCATGGTCAATTTGTAAAATAAAAATGGAACAAATGTCCCAGGAATTACTGCCTTCCCACCCCTCACCCTTCACTCCCCCCATATTTACTCAGCTTTAAATTGTACCATGCTGGGCAGTGGCTGACTAGATCGTGCTAAAGTTTATGCCATCACAAAAGCCGTGCCATCTGCTGTCTGAATGCAATTAAAAGGATGTCTCCACAGTGGAAATAGAGATACCTTCCCTTTGTAAACATTCTCTGTGTTCTGTGATTAGCATTCAAAACACAGATATGGGATAAAAGTACATAACTGGAGATTTCTATATCAGCTGCAAATACTTAAGATTCAGGGACGAAGCAGAGAAATTTGTGTCACTGCCAATATTTCCTTTGCATGTTTAATGTTAAAAAAGTCTGTAAGATGATTCTGTCTGTGTGCAATCATATTTGACACTTATTTAATTAAAACTGCTTCAGCTTAATGCCAAGCTTGCTAAATTCAATGAGTAATTGTGCAGGATCAGACCACTGGAAACATCCTTTATCAGCTGGACTCAGATTCTTAGGCCCTGTGTATAGCAAAAAAAAAAGCAAAAGCTTTTGCATGGAAAACAATGAGGGGGTTGCACTTGGAAAGAAACGTCAGGTCTTAGTGCCATGCTGAGGCTAAGTGGAGACCTGTTAAGCTACAGCAGTGTAAACTCTACTTTATATCATTAATAGAGGCCAAAAACCTAGTAACTTCACTCCTACAGATTTATAGGAACACCATTTATAGGAAGGTGTCAACTCCATTCTATACATGAAAAAGCTGAAACACTAAAGTGACTTACCCAAGGTTATAATACAGTAAATGGGGGGTGCGGCCAGAAACAAATCCTAGGCCCAGGCATTAATCCATTGTCCAAAGGCTGGCACATGGATTTAAGCATCCTTACAATAAACAAGACCTTAGTAACAATAGAAGCAAACAATGAGAGCTCTGAATGACTGATTACACTCAAACTGACACTAGCTCCGCTGACGGGCTGGGAGAATCCTTAGTACTGTTTAGCACAATTTACTAGCAAATTCTCAGTTAAGATTCTTGCCTTCTTTCTCCATGTGGCCCGGTATATTTCATACACCGAAAGGTAACCAGTGTTCGGCCCCAGATGGGCTTCTGGGGCGTGGGTGACCAATGAGGCTGTCCTCAGGTTAGCTGAGCACGGAAGGCCTCTGTCTTGCACTAGGCTCTCAGATACCTGGCAGGAATAACACTGTAAAGGTAAATGAACTCAAGTCATAAACTCTTCTGTTTACACAAAACTTATTGGGGGACAATGTCACTAGTGTAGTAATGCCACAGGGACCTTGGAAGATAGATCAAACTGTAGATAAGAAAAATGCCATAGTTCTCTGAAATAGGAAAGAGATAACCAAATTATATGAACTGTACTTGACTTTTTATGTTATCTCGCTTTGTAAAATCAAATTATTTTGATAGCTTTCTTGAAATGTGATATAAAAATGCTGACATCTACACAACTGCGCAATGCTTAAGAGTTTGTCTGCACTGGGAATGTGGTGAGCACGGAGTCAGTACAGTAAATTACAGAAGAATAGCCACTTGACTGGGTGGGTCAATCTTGGCACACACTCAGTATGAGTTTATTCACCTTCAAGGAGATGAAAGCTCTTCTGTACATGATAGTTCCAAGGCAGTTGAGGAACATCCATACAGCGAATAAAAGCATGACTACACGGCGTTGGTAACTGTGCTTGCTCTGGGGAACAGAGTCAGTTTAGAGTAACTTTTGAGCAAACACGCCATTGTGTGTACCTGCCCATGCAGTTGTATTTTTAACATGCACTGTGAATTTGCACCCTTGTTTCTGCTCACTAATTCTGAAATAAATCCTTATTTTTATTCCTGTATGGAATAGTGTATTGGAGAATGACGAATTAAGTAATCTTCCAGATACTGAGTTAGGACAATGTTTATTCCAAGAATAAATGGATGGAGGTCCTATGACTCTCCTGAGATTATGGTCACTTGCATGATTGCTAAAGTTAGCCACCCAATTTCCTACCTTTTCAGTTTCAGCTAAACAATTGTATCCACTTAATAACTTTATACTTTGCATTTAAAGTATTTGTGATTTTCCTGCCTCTTCAGGGCTGTGAGTGTGTAATGTTGCAATTTCTTTGCTTTTATATACCTCCAAAGCAATGCATCATCCTTGGTGGGCTGGACACAGAACTAAATAGTGCAGGGAGCTCCAGAATTATCCAGTAAAAAAAGAATAAATTAAAATAAAATTATCCATGTCTTTTTCAAAATACACAGGATTACATATATTTAATCCATTCCATCTATTATAATCTATTACCATACTGCAGATGGGAATTGCCATCTGCACACTGCTGCAAATATGCTTGGTTATGTTATACTTCTATCTAACAGAACTCAGTTCAAAT